TGTGGTTGCTGGAAGGACTACATAGTGCTACCAGGTGTAACGGGGTACGCCCATGCTATATGGCAGGCAAGACCCTGTGTTGACTGAACACAAATTTCTGTGCACCCGACGTCACGTACACGTGGCGAGGAAGCGCAGCGAAGTAAATAGAACCCGAAAATTCTGTCTAAGGGAGAAGTAGAATTGTTATTTTAATATAGTTATGTTTCTTTGTAAATCTTATATGTCTTGGTCTAACTATATTTTGCGAAAATCCCCTATGTGGGTTTCTTGCCCACCACCTATTGCGCGCGTCCAGCAGCGACTGGTGATTAATTTGGTTGATGTTGATGCTACATCAACCAAAAGTGAAGCATTCAAGAATATTACCATCGGGGGTAATATTCCGCCAACATCACCTCGTCTCGAGTGATGTCGATTGAATATTATCTAAACAAATAATATTTAAAATTTGATATCTTTGTACCAATTTTTATGTAACGGGCTCACCCCGTTACACGAATGGCTTAAAACGTGCACTTTAGCAACAACAAAAAGGGCGGTCTTGTTCCGTTTGTAAATAAGCTTCGAACGTATGCGCTGATTTTGTCGCCATTGTTTCTTGTTGCTCGAGCTTGCTAGATAGATGCCCGCTTGCTCGCATCAGGTCCATACCCTGATCCGGACATCTCTACGATCCATCCATGCGATTGGCCAGCACACAATGGAATATATCGCGTAAGCTCGAGCTGCACTGCAAGTAAATTTGCGTCCAGCTGATTTTCGTCAACTTAGGCGTGCATCGCAACTTCAGCATCTCTTCCTCTTCCATTTGATTCGGTGCGAAGAAACAATCCATCGCCTGCTTGGGTCCCTTCAGTTTTCATACTGCCTTGCATGATCTTCATCTTATACTTGGACTTAATCATCGAGACGTACGAAGCACACATGGACATGGCAAACACCACAATGTCATTCGGTACATGCTGCCCGTAACCGCAATAAAGAGCCCTATTCTTTCAGCCTCTCCCTCTTACTCGCCTGTAAATCCTAGTCGGTCTTCCTCGCGTCGCTGATGAATGATCGCATTCCTTTTTGCCTTGGTCGTGGTAGTGGTCGCAATAACAAAACGATCGTCGTCATGTCCGCCTCTTGTTTGGTCGTTGTACTCGCTCCTCATGGCACACTCTTCGATATAATGATCTGTCTCCTTGACAACGTGGTCCACCGTCTCCCTGTGCACCCAATCGTCATTGTCTTGGCCACTCTACTTTGCCTCCATTTATTCGCCTTACCCTCCTTCCTGCGGACGCTTTGCTTTTAGTCAGATACTTATACGATGTACTTGTCGTGTCCCTTCCGCATCAGCTTCTATGTTGCTATTTTCCTATTAACACGGCTAATAATCGTCATCTTCGAGAGCTGGCGCTGTAACTTCTTCATGTCACGGCACTCTCTTGTCGACTGTTTCAGGCCATCACGCTGACCTTACTGTATGTGCCTTCTCTCCTTCTCCATTCGTCCCATTTTATTGAGTTGTAACCGCGAGACCCTGGCACTTGCATGGTTTAGACAAATCATCGTCCGTCGCTTCCTTATTGTTCTCCTTGATGACCACGTCCTGACGATACTTGATCCCTGTTGTTCCGGCAGCACATTTTGAACGTCACCCACAAGTCCTCATCAGAGTCGTTGACCACTTGGAGAACTCGTCTATCGTTCTGATGCACTTAATCTCTGACATACTGGCGCCTTATGCGATAAAGCTACCAACCACAAGTTGCTCGCCCGCTGATGCTACCCTTGACATCGGGTCGGCGTGGATGCAGCATAATGCAATCATCGCCTGGAATAGGAAAACGTTATGAGCATTCGTGACCCTGGCGGTCGCACGGATGCACGCAATGCATGTAGAAGCACCGTGAAGATTGGCGTGGACGTACACATCATCCTCACGCAGATAGTGCTTGACCGGTTGTTCGTTCTGGAAAGCATCTGTTCCAGCAACCGTCACGTGCTTTCGTTGGTAGGAAACCTACATAATTGCTCAACCAGAGCGTTCCCGCCGCGGTTTTGGGTCACATTCCTCTTCGCTGTTTTCCCAGTGTTCTCAAAGCGGTCCTCTCCGCGAGCGCAATTACTTTGTCAATCGCCCTCCATAGCCTTGGTCACCTTCGCACCAGCTTCCCTCTTCTTTTGACAGACTTCGCGCTACCGTTGACAGCGTCGACTCGGTCCAGATGATGTGGACCTGTCTGTTTTCCTCAGCCATATCATCACCCAAGTGTTCGCCCTCGACACGCTCTTCGTCGTCGCATTGCAAAATTGCATTGCGGCTATGCTCGAGATCTAGTTTGTGCGTGAGACTTGCTACGGAGTTACCGTTCTTCTATTCGTACTTCACGAGCTCTTCCCACGCCACGCCAAATCGTTTGACTGGATAACACGCTATAAATGAAAAACGCCTTCTCTACGTCTTGCGTAAGCTTCAATCCTCTGGGCATGTCGTCGAGAAGTCTGCTCTTGAACCTCGCGCGATCCAGCGAGCTGTTGTGTGTGTCTGCTTCTTCTTTGAGCTCCGCCAGTTTGTCCTCCGGAACAAGCTGGACACTTTGCTTTGCCACTTCAGCCGTGTCCGTATCGATGCGCGAAAAGCACCTATCAACAGCCTCTTGTCGAAGCTCTTGACCTTCTTTCGTAGATGCTGAGCATACAGGAATGGCGTGAACTCTTCATACTGCGTTTGCGCAGCCTCCTTTGTAGAGTTTGTCGCAATGATGGAGCTTCGCTCATGTGTGAATGTAGAAGGGTAAAGCGCCGTAAAATCATGGCGTTCTTCGTCTTCAGCGTGAGCGAGATATCTGCATGCACTAAACAGTGACCAGCGATGGCAGGACCCAAGCCTCCAAACGTATAATCTTTGACCACAACAACATCTTCGTCCGAATAATGCTGTCTGAAGCGTTGGGCTCGAGAAGCAAGTGACGTCAGGGCGCGTCCCGACCGAACGTCAACTCCACGACGCGATCTCCATCGAGCTGCGTTAGCGCCTACGTTTCTTTGCCCCTCAAATGTTCCCGCAGCCTCATCGTGAAATGACTTGGCGAAAGACTCGCTGACTTGGCCTAACGTGCGTATCGACTCGTGTGCAACCGCACGCCCCATGCGAACAGCAGCAACATTAGGAATACAGGCTGCTGTGGATTGAGAATGAACGTCTTGGTAGCGCTTTTGTCGCTCTGGCTTTAGACGTCGCGGGTGTTGGTCACGCGCACGTTGACGACATCCGCACGATACTACCCACCATTGAGTTAATGTCATGACCAATTGGCATGCGTGTCTTCTCCGTGCTCAATTGATCGCGGCGTGTGTGAGATGTTTTTCCCGTTGTGCAGTTGAGAACCCGCAGTTAGGACTTCGAGGCCATGGAGAGTAGTAGTCATCGTAGCTGCTGAGAGCTCGAGGAAGAAAAGAATCGGGTCGGGAAGAGCTACAGTGACAAAGAACGCTGCGAAAAGCGATACATCACACTGAACACGTCTTAAGGTTGTCCAACACGTATTGTCAGTGCATATCACCAACTGGTGATCGCAACCATCATATATGCTTCGCACAAGGATGCGATTCAGTTGAGCCCTTGTTGCCTGTAGAAACCCTTGTTGCTACTAGTCTTCCGACGCTGGCTAACCAAGATCAGCGAATCACAATCTTGACAACAGGGGGGTCGACACGAGGAAGCTGGTGAGCGAAAGAGGATGTCGAGTATGTCATCATGTCTGGTCACTGGCTACGGTTGAGTGCGGTACAGCAAAGACAAAGAGATTCTCAACTATGAAGCTGCTCTTTTTCATTGATAGCGACGATTTGGCTACGTAGGATGCAACAACACTCCGTTTGGTGAGTCTAGTCAGAGACGTCGACTCTACTGTTTCTCTCACTCACGTGGGCCAAAACCCTTTTCAGTGTATGATGCAAACTCTGCGAAGCACAAAAGGAACTGATAAAACGATATGTGATGAGATGGTGCATCCTCTTTATGGCCGTGGAACGTTACTACGGTATCCGTTTGTTGCAAAAGCCACTGAGTTCTGCTAGCGAAGAAACCTTCTTCCATGTCCGTAGTGACGTAAGCACCGTGGCTTTGAAGCCTATACTTCCAAAACAAAACAGGAAGCTCGATAGGATCTGTTTGTGTGGCAGGAATCATTGAGGCAAATCATGATAGTTTTGGATTCTATTTCCTGATTTTTGTCACTTTTTTGCCCTTCAGATCAGCTCGTACGTCCTGGCTTCTTGCAGGTCATCTATTGGTACGCATACAAGATGTAAAGCCTTTGTGATGCACCACCTTGCACAACGCGATCGCACTTGACGGCGAGCATCATATCGCTACGCTGCGTATCATCTCATCAGCTCGTCACGTTCATGCTTTACTTGTATCTGTTTCAGTGGGAAGACAGTTTTCTCGCTTTTTACATGCGGGCAGCCCATACTTGGCCCCGGTTCATCCACGTAATACAGCTCAATATTCATCCCTGGTTGGCAGCATGGACAGCTGGGGAGTACGCCCGTCTATTCCAACATACAGCATCCATGGTGCCCACTACGGTCCAAAGTTGTCGGTGACTTTGGCTTCGGCTCAATGGTCATTGCATCAGCATTCGAAACTGTCTGGGAGCACACACACATAATCAGATCAGCATAGTTCATCGGTAGTGAAGAAGCTTCCCATCCATCTTTTGCCGGAGAAGTCGGCAGAATGTACCAGAACAGAGATTTGTGAGTAAGATTTTAGCATAAATGCAGCATAAACAAGCAGTTCCTCTCTGTATCACCCAAAAGAGGACTGTTCTGGCGATAGCTCGTCGACATTGTGACAACTACACAAATATTTGTATCATTGTAGCAAAAGCCTAAACCTGCACCAGGTCCATTCAAAGTTAGAAGCTCTTTCCAACGCTGCAGTCCGTCATCACGCAATTTGTTTCAGCCCGCAGAAGCGTCTACGCCGCTAAACGTCGATGCAGTACGTCTCCGTCGTGCTCTTCGTATCCAGTGTGATGCTGGCATGCATCACGAGTTCCACAGTTGATCCCAGCCCCAATGTGACCGAGGCCAACCTCCGGGAGAATAGTCTTCGCCTCTCTACCAACGATATTAATCGCATCTCTGCTGTCCGGGTGCTAGGGCCAAATGCGACGACAGATCAAGAAGAGAGAATGATCCCCGTGCTCACCCCTATGATGGAGAAGCTGAGTTCCTTTGCGACAAAGATAATCGACTACATTCGAGGATTCAAGTGGATCATGAAGTATGCAAGCGTCGACAAGTTCTTGAGGTGCTTCGACCCCAAAAGAACTGTCATAAAAGACCCGTTTAAGCTCGCGCAGAACTTCTGGAACGAGCTAACAGAGTCGACATATGAGGCCATGAGGTTCCTTGCCGAGTCCAACAGCGGAGATAGTCGTACCACAAAGTTCGCGTTGGTCGACTATTTGTCAACGAGATTTGGAGAAACCGAGATGACAGAGGTGTTACTCAGGGCTCAAGACTCTGGCGGCAAGAAATTTATGGCAAGGGCTGCAAAGCGACTGTTGGACGAACAGGTTCGTAGATGGCTTCACAGTAAAACAAGCTTAGTCGACGTGTCCCGGTATATCTACCGACCAGACAGCGATGACTTAGCTGAGTCGAGATGGGATCTATTTGATGACTACTACTTTGGATTTATTGGCCTGTTTGGGGGCGCTCAAATATTCGGAAAGACGGCGGGAGAACTGGATAAAGCGGCTGCGTTGCTTCCGATATTGGCGAAAGGGAAGAAAATCAGCGGCCACACGAGCGATTTTGCAGAATCTCTTCAAGACACGTTGGTTACTCAGTGGGTCTTGGGTAAGAAGTCTTTCCAAGATTTTCTGTCGTTGCTAAACTATCGCCCCGTCCAGTTCTTTGAAGTCGAGAGCAGGTTGGTCGTGAACCAGTTCATCGAAGAAGCTGAGATTTTTCATGGGAAGAAGATCGATCTTTACAGTGCTTTACGAAAGGACTACGGTGACGTCCAATTCTTCGAAGGGATACTGAAAGCACAGAAGAACAAAGAGACTAGCACTGGGGACTGCGACCAGGCTAAGGAGTGGCTGTTTGGGCAGTGGGAGTTGGAGTTATATAACGAAGGTGATGTGAAAAGACTTTTGGAGATATTTCGAGGGTCGTTTCGTGTGTCTGACCGCCAAATTTCTAAAGCAACCGCGGCAGAAATAGCACGCGAATATACTGCTTGGTACAAGTCACGCCGTACTGTAACGTTTGGCCCCAAGGCGGTTGTGCTTGAGTGAGTATGTTTCCTGTCGTGGAATCTCATAGAGCGCTACAGCGTAATGATGAAAGCACAGTTAGCGAATAAGTACTGGTGCAATAGCAAATAAAGAGAAGAATACTGGGCTTGACGACATATGCATCATACAAAGAGGTAGCTCTTCGTAGATTATCTCGCATCTTCAAAAATGTAGCAGATTTGCCGTACGGTCGAAAAGCTCAACTGTATCCTCTTAATCATTCATTATCTTTACCCTCATGTGCCGTGTCTCTTGTTGCTTACGGTTCGATTTAGTCAGGCACCTAACAACCATATCCTTTTTTGGGAAAATATATGTGTGACATGTATGCAGTTGTAGCGAATGTACTCAACATTTGCACTCTTACAATCCGATGGTTGGCTACGAATAACAAAAGCACACACGACCGGTTTCTATTTCCACAAATTAAAGCGATCCGTAATCAATCCCCAGCACCCGACCACTTTGCCATAACGTAGCTTCGAAGACATTGGGTCATCATTGCCTGCTTGGACAACACCTTGTCCACATTTATCATTGAAAGCCGGTGATTCGTTGCGAGCAACTCACGCGTGTTTGTTATGACTAGATGAGTCCGTTCCATGACATGATAACAACAAACGAAACATCGAAGCAAGTGCATATTTAACGAGCAATCGTTGGAAACGATAGCTCAAATGGTTATGTACAGTCAATCTTGCTAACACACTGTACATTGCATGCTATGCACCATGACGTCAGCAACAAATACACCAATTGGTAACCGATGCGTGCTCCACGAGTAGTGAGCAACTAATCGACGCATGCATTTTTGGTTTGGTATGATAATGGAAGGTTGGCATCCGACCATATCTACCGTTTAGTGTACACAGTCCACTTCATCATCCAAGTCCGACGAGCAAAACGAATTGTCGTGTAACTGGGTGAGGGCGTTCGATATAATAGACACCACATTGGGTCCATTACAATTTCCTGTATGAATGGATAATTATCAGCTACCTGATGTAGCAAACATTGAAGAAAATACACGTTTTAAGTTCTTATTACACCGCTCCACCCATTAGTTTATTTAGTCGATAAGATAAATCAACTCAACCACCCGTTGCTGCTAGACGCGCGCAATGCGTGGTGAGCGCGTAGCAATATAAGATTATTGTAGTTTCATATTGTTGGGTAAAAGCAAAAGAGGTTTTATTTGTAAACTTCACTGTATTAAATACAACTCTACTTTCCCCTTTGTCAAACGTGTTTTCGTCGAAGAGATTTAGCCCTCGTCTGCACGCACGGTGCACGTGAGGTTTTACATAGCTTGTCTTGTATCAGTACAGGCATCAATGCCCCGTTATCCGCAAGTTGAGCTCGCCGATTCCTCAACTGCTAGACAAAGGAGGGCTGTCTACCATTGTGCTCGCCAAACGCTCGCCGTTGTTGTGCGTTTGCGTGCACCGTACGCATAGGCACTCACTTGCTCTTGCATAATCGAAGGCGTATCGGCGTCTCCCAGCGCGATGCTCGTTCTGCGTCGGTACCCACAGGCGAGAATAGGCGTACAAAGCGTGCCTTGCGGAGAACGCTTACCGCCCAATCTCCCTAACGACAGTATCACCAACGCAAAGGAGACGTTCCGTGCCACGTGGCCCGTCCACTCTGCCTATCCAGCACGTCGGTTGGACGTCAGCTATCGCACTTGTGAAACGTCGCTGCCAGACGCGACTCGTTGTGGCCGTCGACAGTGGGTACTTTGGTAGGTACGTTTCGACGTTGCAGGACGACACGTTGACACGCGTGACGAGCGTACACAATATGGGCCCCACATGCACAGTCAGTCAGTCGTTCGAGCGCATGGGAAAAAACTACGTGCGAGCCCCGTCGTGGTCGCACGGAACCTTCGAGAATCCTGTAAACGGTCAGACGGTACAAACACGAAAGCCGCGACGCGCTGGCGTCGGACGAGTTGCGTGCAGAGCCGTGCACGATGTCGCATGGATCGCCTCTGTCGCTTGTCGATCGTTCGCTGCTGTTGATACTTTGCTTAGTAGAACCGAAAGACCGTCGCGGGCGACTCTGGTTATCGACTTCCTCTTACAACGCTATGACCGCGTCATTGAAGCAAAGCGCGGACGCGATCCTTCGTTCGTTCCGTCCGTCCGTCCGTTCGTCACTCACTCACTTACGCCTTCACTCATTCACTCCTCCACTTTTTCACGCACTCACTCCTTCACTCACTCACTCACTCGCTCCTTCATTCATTCATATACGCACGCACGCACGCCCCTTAGCAGTCGCTCGCAGACTCGCACCAAAGAGACCCTATCAACTCCACCTACGTAGAGGCTTCTGACCCGTCGCTCCACGAGGCGTCCAACGACTCAAAGCATGACTGCGGTCTCTATCGTCGCCCACTCGTGTCAATACTGCGGCACTACGGACGCCAAAAAAAGTCGCGGCGGCGGCGGCGGCTGTCCTCGCGTCCACTTTCACGACTGCAAGTGCCAGCGGCCGAGTTGGCACTGGCACCGCGACGCGTGTCCACCGACAGAGCCGACACGTGAACTGTGTCCACCGATCGAGATCGACGGTACACCCCACGCGGCCGCAACAGCCCGTGTTCCCACGCGCGCCGTACCCTGTATTACCGCGCAGAAGCAGTCGCCGGCGAAACCGCAGCCTAAGAAACAGCCTAAGAAACAGCCCAAGAAACAGCTTAAGACACGCAGCAACAGCGTGCACGTGCTTTCGTCGGCGGCGGCGGCTGCTGCTACTTCTGTAGCGGCTGCTACTACTTCACCGCCTCGACCGTGCGGGCTCCGCAAGACGCGCTCGGTCTCTCTAGGGACCGCCAAGCGCGTGGCCTGGGGCGACGTCTGGGCGCGCGAGTTCGCGCGGTTTCCAGGCGGCGGCGGCGCCGTCCCGTACGACGGCACGTGGGCGCTCGGCCTGGGGCGCCGCCTCGCCGACGTGCCGCTCGGCAGCGTCTCGGAGCGCGAGCGCGCGCGGACGCAGACGCTGCAGGCGCGCGCCGAGCACCTGACTGGCGTTCGCCGTCGCGACGTGCGCGAGGGAGAGACGCGTCAGTTCGACTACCGGCGCGGGGTGGCGAACCCGCTGTTTGCGCGGCTGGAGGAAGACGCGCGGAAGTGGCTGTTGACGCACTCGAAAGACGTCGACGCGGAGCCATACGCGGTAGCGGCAGCAGCTGCTGAGGGAGAGGCAAAGAGCGCGAGCGTTACGCGAAGGGCGTCGCCGACTATGAACGGGCGGCGCGCAGCGCGACGGAAGGCGTCGGCTGCGTGTGGAGCTGCGGGGGAACGACGTGACGGCGGGGACCATGAGGCTGCTATGGAGACGCCGGACTTTGGCTGTGTCTCGATCGAGCAGCTCGACGAGTTCACGCGCATTCGGGACTCGCGAGAAGGCGCGTGCGGCTGCTCGTGTGGCGACCTGGTGAAGAAAGTGGCCAAGATGAACGTCAAGAAGCTGCGGGCGTTCTTGAGCGACCGCCAGGTTGAGCTGCCGGGACGGGGCAAGACCGAGTTGATGGCGGCCGCGAAGGCACTCGCACGGGCGCACAAGAACTGCCAGAGCGCCGACGCGGACTGCGAGTGCGCCCGCAATGGCGTGCCGTGCCACGCGGACGTCTGTGAAGGCTGCGCAGGTGCGTGCTGCAACCCGCTTGAGTGCTATACGTACAAGAGCGCGGAAGTGAAGGAGTACCGCAAGGAGCAGTTGGCCAAGTACCAACAACTACAAGGCCAAGTGGAGCAGTGAATGCGTTTATCTGCGTCGACGTCGTCTCCTATGTGGCAAGAGGACGTGGTGGATGGACCGTAGCTGCTGCTCATGATCGTGTGTGGACAAATCTTCGCGCGTGGAGACTGCGAGAAGGACAGTGAAGCGTACCATGTAAGAACAAAAGTGACGAGGGTACGTGTAGCTCTCTGCGTGACCCCCGACTGCAATGTCTGTTTGGACTGATTGTGATGCATTTCATCCACTATGCACTTAGTCATCGGCTTGCGCACGTCATGACAGAGACAGAGATAAACAACGCGATCGCTACACTTGACTTGTCTGGACACGAACGATGAACTCGTGACGGTATGCAGAGAGTTACAGCTACTCGGCATTGGGCTCGCAACGGGTTCAGCCGTCGTTGCGCAAGTCTGAGCAATTGCTACTGCGCCAAGCCAACGTCGAATTGACAATTGAGTCACATGCACGAGCTGCAGAACGAGCTGCAAACGTCATGCAGCAGCGGAGTGGAAGGGCATTGGAGTGCGCTGGCGATGGTGGAACTAGAAAGGCAAAGGCAGCAATTGACGCGGCGGCAAAGAAGGAGCCGATGAAGAAAAGATGGCGAGGTCAGCTGAACGAAAGGGCCGTGGCAAGAAGACAGCAGGATGTGGTTGGCCAGAGATCCGTAGTCACGAAGACCTACGACTGGGATCCGTGTGAGTTCATGGCGAGAGCGGAGAGAAATCTCGACAAGTTGAAGGTAGACAGACGAACTGAGAGATGCTGCAGTGTACCATTTGCTGCAGTTGTGGCTGTACGTGGCGGACTCAAAGCGTCGGAACGCTCCGTGCGAAGTGTGCAAATGATGGAATGGTATCTTTGCGCCGATCTTTCCACCAGACTCGAAGATCGAGGGCAGTACAGCCTATCCACTGATGCGTAGGTGCTGTTGTCTTGGGCCGCCTATGTCAAAAAGCCACTGATGACTGCAATACGGACTGTTGCACTGACTGCCAAGCAGACACCACTTGGTGCAAGCACCAAATACATGCGAACAATGAGCGAAGCGTACACATGTGAAAACCAAAGTCACACCTCACGTCAATGTGTACAAAGTGATCGGCATTTTCTCCTCCACTCTTCGACCAAGCGAGAGATACTCCTGAAGACCATCGAGTCATCAGACCGCGATGTCTAGCAACTCGACTGCTCAGTCGCTGTCTCCCAGTCTTCACACACTGGCTCAGCTCTCCGTCGGCCTGTGTGTCGATAGATGGCTGCACTGGACGAAACGGTTCTCGCGACAAGAGTATTCGTCAATTACCGTCGGCGGGAAAAGATGCTGCGGCTTGTGCGGCCAGTGGGTTTGCTGCTGGGCTGCGTGGCTCGTTTGTTGCGGCGCTTGTAGACGGCAATCTGGTCGTCGACACGAATGCCCCACTGCAGATGCTCAGCCGTCACGGCAGCGTTCAGGAACAGATTCAGCTTCTCAGCGCGCTCGCCAATCGTCTTTTGCGAAAAGTTGCCGACCAAGTGACGATGCGGTAGGTCGGGAATGTCCCGGCGCTTCATTCCGTTCTCCTTCATGAGACGATCGCACAGCAACCTGTGCCACAGAATGCACACAACCGCATGAGCAAACGAGCGCACTAACCCCACACAACACTCAGAGCCATAACTAGCGCGTACCGGAAAGTGCTGTACCGTTTCCAGCAAAACAGTGTGCCGTAGTTGGTCGTGCGGATTTCCAGCTTGTACTGGATGAACCTCGTGCCCGTGCGGTTGACAATGCGGCTATCGACGATGCGAGCCGACACGAGACCGATCTCATCGGGGACTGCAAATTGTCATACACCACAAGGTCAGCAACACACCACTCGCCCATTCAATGAACACCTCAGCAGGCATCAGAACGCAACGTACGTGGCAACGACGCGTCCTCCACGATCGCGCGCTCCTCTTCTTCCTCCACGTACACAGCAACGTCCTTGATCTGCACAAAAGCCAAGAACTGGTCGCCGTCCGACGCATTGACTTCAGTGTTGATCGCGTAGCATCCAACGTGGGGGTCGAGACCCACGACTTCGCCCGCTCCGAACGGCGTGTCCACCTTCGTGCGCGGTGAGAGGATCCGTCCGTCGTCGAGTTGGACGTCGCTGCTGGGCACCGTAATCTCCATGCCACCGACCGAGCTGTCCATCTTGACCGCGTACGTCTCCCGCTGCTTGTCGTAACTTACGATCCGGCCCGGATCACGCCGACGCACGAGCACCGGCACGTCTTTGGACATGGACTGCTCGTACTTCTCCGTCTTCTCCTGCTGGATCCGCTCCTGGCGAATGCGCTCCTCTTCGTCTTTCGCGCGCTGGGCCGCAAACGCCGCCTCGGCCACTCTGCGCTCCTGTTCCTCGCGCTCCCGTTGCGCACGCTCTTCCAGCTCCCGCACACGCGCGTCCTCTTCCTCGCGCTCCCGTTGCACACGCTCTTGTTCCTCCCGGACGCGCACTTCCTCTTCCTTGCGCTCCCGTTGCACACGCTCTTGTTCCTCTCGAACCCGCACTTCCTCCGCCTCGCGCTCCAGTCGTTCCTCCTCCTCGCGCGCCTGGAGGGCCACCAGCGCCGCCGCCTCCTCCTCCTTCCGACGCAGTTCCTCGTCCGCGCGCCGCTCTTCCTCTTCCCGTCGTCGCTCTGCCTCTTCTTGCTCCACTCGTCGCTCTTCTTCCTCCACCCGTCGCCTCTCCTCGTCCCGCGCCGCGTCCTCCGCCTCCCGCCGCTCTGCTTCCTCCCGCACCCGCTGCTCCTCTGCCACCCGCTGCTCCTCTTCCGCCAGCGCCGCCACCCGCCTCTCCTCGGCCTCCTTTGCCTCTCGGCGCGCCGCCTCTGCCCGCTGCTCCTCGTCCCTCTGCGCCGCCACCCGCCGCTCCTCAGCTTCCTCCGCCACCCGCTGCTCCGCCTCCGCCCGACGCGCCGACGCCGCCGCCGCCTGCGCGAGCCGCACGGCCGCCTCCGCCTGCCGCTCCTGCTCCATCTGCTCGCGCCGCAGCCGCCGCGACGCCTCCACGCGCGCGTCGTACGCTGCGTCGTCCACTTCTTTGGCCGCGCGCTCGTCGTCCGAGAGCTCCTTGAGCTCGTCCGCGTCGCGCCGCGCCTGGTCCTGACGCGCCAGTTCGGCCATAAACTCCGCGCCGTGACGCGCGCGCAGCTGCCGCACGGCGAACGCGCGCCCGAGGCTCTGGATCTTCGTGGCGTTTCGGTGGACGTAGGCCATTGTCTTCGGGCGGTGGAGGTACCAGAACTTGACGGCGGCCTTCGAGCTCATGATCGTCTCGAGGTCGAGCGGCCGCAGCTCCGTCTCGTCCGACTGCATCGCTTTGTGCGTCGCCTCATCGCGATGCAGCGCCTCGTGGTCCGTGCGCACGGTCGACTCGCGGCCGTCGTTGGGCTTCCAGTACGACGAGTACATGCGAGTTGGACGACGGGCGCGGGGGTGGGGAGAAAGTGTACGATGAGTGAGAAGAGAGAGAGAGCGGCTGCGGCTGCGGTTTGGTTTGGTTTGTACGGCCAGTCGGTCAGTCGGTCAGTCGGGCAGTCGGTCGGTCAGTTCGTCAAACGTGACGGGGCAGAGGGGGACTCGACGGGAGCGAGTAAAGAGGCGAAATGGCCAATCGGGCGGAGATATTGGACGGCCGCCGACGAACTCGTTTTTAAGTTGGGGCGTTCGTTACTCGCCACGTTGAAGGGGCGAGAGAGGCGGGCGGGGGACGAGAGACGAGACGAGACGATCGACCGATCGATCGATCGGGTGGGTGGGTGGGTGGGTGGGAACGAAATCGAGTCGCTGATTGGCTGGACGGGCGCTGCACGACGGGAAGTAACGGGGGAAGGCGTTTGATTCCGTTTACAACAAGTGCGACGACGACGACGAGACGACGAGACGAAGCCGTGCTGGCTTTTTGACTACCGCTCGGTTTCAACAAAGGTGTGTTACTTCCAAAGATATGATTGATGCCGTCGTGGCGGCAGAGCGAAGAAGGCAAACGACATTTGTTGCTGCGGCTACGACTGCGGCTGCATCGAAATTCGTACGCATGTGTGTACTTAGGTGCGCATGTCCTTGGCACGTACGTGAGCCCTGCACTTGATTGCCCGTTCATCAGGCACTCCATGTGTATGTAATGGTACCGTCGTCTCGAGGCGTAGCCCTCGTTCGGACACGATCCCAACACAACAGTGCAACGCTATGCAGCGTTTGTGTCGCGGGCGTACGTGCTCGCTGCCGTCTTGTCGAGAGCACGAGCGAGATTCCGTCCAATTGCGTTGCTTCCTTCTGCGTCACAATGCCATGGCCTTAGGAGCATCGTCGCAGCTACAGTCTTGGCCTTTGTGCGGATACGAGCTGACCCGATTGACGTCAGAAGTTGGTGCGTGTGGTAATACGAAAAGCATGGCCCCTACTATATCTGGTAATCGATTGTCCAGTCGCGTCCAGCATCTTAAACAACAACAGTTCAAGTGTGTGAACTCACTGGTATCGACAGCGTTACCACGTAATCGATGACAGGTGGTCGCTCGACCGATCGGAGAGCTGTCGTGAGTCAGCAAGTACGTACGGGACAATGGCCTGGCGCAACGTGGTACATCCCGCGTGCTCTCTACATGTAGCCAAGTCGTTCAACGTGGGTGTTCGGTACATGTACAATGTGTCACGAAGGTACGAGGCAGCAACAAAGCAAGAAGAAAAAGAAAAAGAAGAAAAAGAAGAAGCAAAAAGCACTTTGAGCCACGGCCCCACAGCTTCAACCTGCACTTCCTGCTCTGCCCGTCGAGCCAATCACAGGACGAGACAGCTGCTCCCTGGCACCGCTTTCGAGAGGTCTCGACCACGCGCAATAGTGACCACCAGCTCCCAAGTGGTCCAGCAGCACGAACCCCAATATGCTGCCGGCGCTCCTCGTCCGTCGTCGCGGCCCAGCGCTGTCTCTTGCCGCCGCTACAGCTGCTACTGCTCCAACCAGTCGCCTGTACTCTGTCCCGCCGTCGTTCGCCGACTTGGGCCTCGACGCGCGCCTCGTCGCGGGGCTCCGCGAGAAGCACATCACGACGCCCACAGCCATTCAGGCGCAGAGCATTCCAGCGATCCTCACGCGTCGCAACGTGCTGTGTACCGCGCAGACCGGTACCGGGAAGACGCTGGCGTACCTGACGCCAGTGATCGAGCAGCTGCTGCGACAGGAGACGGCGGCCGCGCACACGCCGCACGCACTCAACAGCGCGGACGGCCCTCTACAGGTCGTGCAGCAGCGACCGCGTGCGCTGGTGCTGCTGCCCAGTCGAGAGCTGGCGCTGCAGGTGGCAGCAGTGGCCAAACAGCTGTCGCACTCGGCCAAGTTCGCGTCCTGTACGGTCACGAGCGGCGAGCGCAAGAGCATTCAGCAGAAGAACACGGCCCGTAGACTGGATCTGGTCATTGGCACGCCGGGACGCGTGGCCAAGTGCATCAGCAAAGGCGACTTCTTTGTCTCCCGCATTGGAACGGTCGTCATTGATGAAGCCGACACGATGTTCGATGCCAAGATGGGCTTCCGCGCTGAACTGGATGCCGTGCTGGGACCGATCCAGGCCAGTGCTCTCAAGCGCAAGCAGCCGCTGCAGGTGATCTTGGCCGCCGCGACGATCCGCCCGCCGATCGATCAGGTGGTGCAGAAGAAATTCGGCGACCTGCGCGTCGTGAGTGACAACAAGATCCACAAGACGCCGAGTACGATCAAAGAGGAATTCGTGCGCGTGATTTCAGAGTCCAAACACTCGGCGCTGCGTGAGACGCTGCGTCTGCACGATGCCGGTGCAGACGCAGCTATGGCACCAGCAAAGACGATGATCTTCTGTCGCAACGCCGCCAGCGTGCGCTCGACCGAGCACATGCTGCGCGAGCACGGCTTTCACGAAGCCGTCTGTCTGCATGGTGACATGCCTCCAGCAAGACGCCGCGACGCTATTCAAGCGTTCACAGAGGATGCCGAGGTGAATGTGCTCGTGTGCACCGATCTAGCTGCTCGTGGGCTCGACTTCGACTCGGTGAAGCACGTCATCATCTTTGACTTCCCCAAGACCGCTGTTGACTACGTCCATCGCGCTGGACGGACCGGCCGAGCGGGCGAACAGGGCCTCGTGACCAGTCTAGTCACCAAGCACGACCTTGCGCTTGCTACGAGCATTGAGAACTCGAAACGCAGCAACAGCACGATCAAGGAACTGCGTGAAGACAAGGCTGCCTCTTCGTGCGTGACTGCAGCTCGACAACTGGCATCGAGCGACAATCTCAAGGAGAAACAAGCGCGTCGATACCCACAGAAGACGCGAGGCGGCATTGGTCGGGGCACGAAAAAGCTGCAGAAACACAAGATCCGGACACTACGTCCGAGCCGGTAAGAAGACTTGCTACAGTGCAGTATGAGGTGGCACGGCGCAGTGCTGCACAAGCGAACGGAATCTCAACCAGAGTCAATCAAAATGATGGCAAGCAGACCAGTTCATCTATCGTGTACTGCATTCCTATCTTTTCGAGGCATTCATGCGGCGATACAGCGCCTCAAGCTCCCGCTTGGCCTCACCAGGTGGGAAGTTGGTCAGGTCGAAGTAATGAGGCGCAATGTCCACAAGCCACTCGCCTCTAACGCGGGTGTTCAAGCGAATATAGTTGCGACTCGTGAGCACAAACTCGTTGTAGACGACCCAGTCGGGCTTCTGGTCGAGTACACACGAAGGGTGCAGGTGCACGAACTGGTTGTCCTTCACAGTCATAAAGCGTCCGTCGGCCTCTTTGTGAGCCACCTGCATGAAAAACCCCGACACCAGTGCTTTGATGATGTTCGGGTAGTAGTGGGCAGAATGGATGTCCAGCGTGGACTGCGTCGGCATTTCCAGTCGTATCATGTTTCGGATCAGCTGGTCGCGCACGTTCGACGCACTCTGCAGCGACCGGTTGTTCAAATAGTTCTCGTAGCACCAATTTGCATCGCCATTGTTCAGTTTGTACGCGTGAAAAACGTTCAACAGCGTGAGGTGGTCGCCATCTGCGTGCGCAAAGTTTGCTTTGGCTTCATTCGCGGCCTTGGCGTCGTGCTTTGGACGAATGAAAGGCTCCTGGACAGACAGCATGGCCACAATCGTAGCCACTTCCTGCGGCACTTGATACTTTACGGACGAGATCAGCATTTTTGCCAGCTGCGGGAGCACAGGTAACATGGCCATCTGACGGCCGAGCTCCGTGAGGTCCCCCTCGTCACTCAACGCGCCGAGGTAGTTGAGCATTTCCAACGCACGCATCAACGTTTCGGGAGCTGGTGGGTCCATGAAATCAAAGTGCACCAGGTCGTCAATGCCCAGCTGCTTGAGGGTGAGCACGACGCCGCTCATCTCCGAGCACAGAATCTCCGGGTACGTCTGCTCTTCCAAGTCCTTCAGGAACGATTGCTCCGTGTAGAGGCGAAAGCACTTGCCCGGTCGCGTACGACCAGCTCGACCGGAACGCTGTTTGGCTGACGCACGTGAGATCGGAGACACGAGGAGCGACTCGACTCGAATGCGCGGATTGTACACCTTTTGCTTGGAGAAGCCCGGGTCAATCACGTACACGATACCGTCAATGGTCAGCGACGTTTCGGCCACGTTCGTCGACACGACAATCTTCCGGCCTTTCGGGCCGCCTGGGAAGCGTGGCTCGGGCGCAGGCTTAAAGATGAGCTGCTGCTGGTGCGGCGTGAGCGACGAGTACAGGGGGTAGACGTCCAGAGGGCCGTACTTGGCCGCGTCCAGCGCGTCGGCTTGCGCGCGAATGTCACGACAGGCGTTTTCAATCTCCTCTTGGCCCGTGAGGAAGAGCAGCACGTCCCCTTCTTCTTCGCAAATGTGGATCTGCACGGCCGTGCGCACCGCGGCGTCGAGGTAGTCGCGCTCGGGTTCGGGCGTGTAGAAGATCTCGACGGGGAACGTGCGGCCGGGAATGGCAATCAGCGGCGCGTCTTCAAAGTACGTCTGGAACTTGACGGCGTCGAGCGTCGCGCTCATGACGACGACTTTCAGGTCGCGCCGTTTCGGCAGCACTTCCTTCAGCAGTCCAAAGAGAATGTCTGTGCTCAGCGTGCGCTCGTGCGCCTCGTCGAGCACAATCGTCGAGTACGCCGACAGCAGCGGGTCGCTCATGGCGTGTTGCAGCAACATACCGTCCGTCAAGAAGCGCAGCTTCGTGCGCGGGCCACTCACGTCCTCGAAGCGGATCGTGTACCCCACTTCCGACCCCAATTGCACGTCCATTTCTTCGGCGACGCGCTTGGCAATGCTCGTGGCCGCAACGCGTCGCGGTTGGGTGCACGCGACCATGAGGGGCTTTGCCGCCTGCAGCAACGTAAGGAACTGCGGGATCTGCGTCGTCTTTCCGCTGCCCGTTTCGCCCTCGACGACAATCACCTGATGCTGCTGGACGGCCGCTTGGATCTGCTCGAGGAACCGGTGCACGGGCAGCTGCTGCCGCTGCGCGAGGAGCGTCTGGTACCGCGCCGAGAACGGCAGTCCAGTGAGGGGGTTCACGTCGCTGCTGCTGCTGCTGCTGGCGGCGGAGCCATTCGCGGGCAGCGGCGGCGCGTCAGAGAAGCGGCTCTTGCGCTTCGTGGGCGGTTGAGGAGGAGGAGGAGAAGCGCCGGCGCTGAGGGTGAGCGTGCGCTTGCGGGCGCTCATGACGGACGACTGAGTGGTGGCCGCTGTTTGGGTGGCGACGAGGGCGTGGGCGGGTGGGTGGGGCACCGTAAGCGGGTCGCGCAACGGAAGGAGGTGCAGTACGAAATGGAAATTAATTGGAAGCGGGCGTTTCTATGTGGAGAGGCATGAACGTCCCCCTCCTTACGGACGAGGTGTATGTTTCTATTGGATGTCGAGACTGCCGAGGAGGTATACGCCTGCGCTGGGACTGCTGCTGGTGTTGTTGGAGCTGGTGAGATATGATGGGGCATGTAGAAAGGGGTGTCACGGCATGGGCAAATAGTGGGCGGTCTCGCTCTTACCTGCCAATAACGACACACGTTTGGCTTGCTTCGTTAAGTACGTCCGCATGACGACAGGTATTGACAATTGGGGCCCACTTCCATGTCGTGACGACATCATGTAGAGCGTTGCGATGCAGACAAGAGGCAAAAAACAAGAGACAGCGCTTTTCTTCTTCACCACACAGTCAGTCAGTCGGTCGGTCGGTCGGTCCATCCGTTGTATGCAGAAACGGTCGTATAATGACAACTCAGACCTTATTCTCTGCGTCATGTGGCGCTGTGTGCACTCTGAGCGTCCGGTAGACGTCCGGTATGAGCGCGAGAGCGCTAATGACAAAGCAGACGCTCCCAATGACGTAGAACGTGATTGCTCTGTTCATATAGTGCACTCCGTCGTCGATGCGGTTGATGTAGCGAGGCAGGTAGTACCAGCTGCCAAGAATGAAGAAGAGCGCGCCGAGGAACGTGGCGACGGCCATGACAGCCGTATAGCACCAGACGTTCTTGAGCTTGAACCCAGTCATCCGCATGTCTTCGTGCGTCATGCAGACAAACAACAGCTCAACGACGGCAGTGATGCAGAAGAGGATGCAGCCGACGATGAACGACCAGCTGCCGAGCTCCGGGGCCTTTAAGTACCAAGTGGGGAGGAAGTAGAGCGCGCCGAGGATAAAGATGCAGGACGCCATGTAGTTGCCCAGTGCACTGTACGCACGCAAGACCTGACGCAATTGCGAGCCGTGGTCGTAGCGGATGACCTGGACATAGTCGAGATTGGCGCCCACGAAGAACATGATGCAACCGATTACGAAGCACCAGCTGGCAAATAGACCGGCCTTACCGTTCCACATGACTGCAAACTCGGGGTAGAAGTAGATGGAGCCGACGAGGAAGAGCACCGAACCCAAGAAGTAGGACGTCACGCGCCCAAGTTCAATGCCCTTTTCCCAGTTTGCGAGCTCGTGGCCTCCTGTCTGCAGCACCAGAGACTGGTATGGCGTCGTCTGGACCGCATAGTGCGAATCGCGCGGCGAAACGCGGAGCATGTGTTGTGTCTGCTTGGACGCAATGCCGTCGCTCGAGACGTCTTGGCAGCTCGACAGCGAATATGCGAATGCAGTGATCGCGGGATCAGTCTCGGCACTAAATTTTGCACGGGTGAGAGGAAGAGACATTGGGATCCCCAGTCGTTTCGACCGTGAGCCCGCGCGAGTCCGAAACGGCTGCTCGTAGTCATTGAGTGAACACGCGACGTCCATCCACGGAGGCCGTTCTCTGACCGCTGTGTGGCAGAAAGCCGGAAGGCTGAGATTCTGCGTGTTTGCGACGCTGCGAAACTCCAAGAAGAGCCTTTGGTTTGGACAGCTCGTTGACACTGCGTTACGACAGACGTTGCGACTCGAACACGGGGGCGAAGCCAAGTCCAGCAGCTGCTGTCCAGAGAGTGCACGCAGGGCGTGGAAGTATACGCTGCAGTAGTCGACTGGTCGCCGCTGTGCTGCATTCCGGGTACTATTGCCCGATGAAGCCAGCAAGTCAGCTGCAGGACTGGATGGACTACGATATAGCTTGTCGTGTGGACATGCACGCTGGAGCGTTATAAATGAGTGGAAAGTTGTGGGAAGAATGCAACTGCGAGAGAGAGTGCACAGTGTGTACGAGTCTGCCTCACTGTCGGCGCACACGTCCAGAACGGGGGGCCAGCCGTCTCGCCACATTGACTGTGGGGACCTATGCCACTGGTAACAACTACCCCGCTACCGCCCATTACAGCTTCTTCACCACATCGCTAATGCCCGTGACAGCTTCTCCCGTCCTTTTTGCCATTACAGCACTGGCACAAAAAACCTTGGCGGGAACCCCATTTCTACCGGGCGACTCGCCTGTCTGCTCAACACGCAGAAATCGCACGCGACTCGCGCGGCTATCCACTCGCCATTGTGTAAAAGTCCGAAAGCCGGTCATGTGCCTGATCAGACTTCGAAATAGATCCGGGAAGAACGAGCTGGACGGGCGGGAAAGAGATTGACCCGCGGGTATCGCATAAGAGAGGACCAGAGCTATTCGTTGCAACAAGTGAAGTGGAAAAGAGATGGAAGGGAAGACCGTGGCAGGGCCATTGGCGTGTATGGAGCATGTGCTGACATTCTTGCACGTACAATGGCATCCCCTTGGTGAACCTCAAGTGCAGAAAGCACTGCTAGCTCTATGTCCATCGCCACACATCACAATGGTGAGCTCGAGTCAGCGTGAGCACAATGACAACGTGTTGAGGCGACGCAGCGACCAAACTTCTCGAGCTCGTCATCTCACTGGACTGTCACATGCTCCTTAGCTCGCACCAACGCCGTTCAGTGCGTCTCCCCGCTAGCGTCGTCGGCATCTCAGATCTATATCACTCGATGTATGTTGCCACGTCCTGCCCCGCCCCGCGTCCAAATCGCCCCGCGTCTTGTCCTTGTATCGGCACCGACGACTTGTTTTAAACAGCTCTTGGGTCGCTCTCCGTGCAGTGTTTCGCTTTCGAGCCGTACTTGCCTCGCCCGCCCATCAGCCTTCATTGCCACCGTCCACAATATCAAAAATGATGGAAGTAAAATGAGAATGTCATTGGTAGTACTATTTATTTTCTCGACCTTTTATATTTCTTATTAACATAAAGATATATTCATATTTACTTACCATTAGTTATAATTTTCATGTCAATTAGAGGTACAAAAGGGGAATAGAATTATACAGAAGCCTATATCTGGCTATTGAATCATCGCATGCACTGGCTTCAATCTCAGTCAAAATTAGACGCACCAACTCATCATTAACTGATAGTGGTTCAGTTAGCTGTAAAACCGCAGCGTCGTCCACGCTGTGAGTCCGTTGCATTTTATAGATGTCTCCGTTTGGGTTATTGGCGTCTTCTTTTCTCCTTGGCGCAAAACTCCTCTGAAACACGTAGCATTACCTGCAACTGCCGTGGCATCCCACAGGAGTCACAGGACACATGCTGCTATTGGCGTTATATTCGTCACGACGACGTAAACAACCTTGCAATGATTGCTGCTCGACCCACTCTCCGATCGTGCTACCTGTCTCTTCTTGAAGCTCTCATTTGCACCAACGAATAGAAACAGTGCTTGAACGGTAAGAGTGGTCGATTGCGATGGGAATCCTTGGGCGTTCAAGCGCCATCGCTATGGCGGAGTCGTCATAAGTTCCTTTCCTCTTGTTGTATTCTATGAATGACATTTCATAAGAGAGGGTCATGCCCCGGGGCTAGACGTCTGATAGTCTCACGTCCAGCGACTTTTGTGCTCACTTCGTGACCTCGGAACTACCTCTTCTTTTTACCAATGCTGTCTGATGTGATCATGTAATATGGTCTGCCCCCGTGGCTTACAGCTACCAGCTTGTTTCTGAAGCGTACAGCGAGCGCATCATTGTGCAATGTTTGCACAATCTAGTGCTCATTCTCTGTACAACTCGAGCGAGGTGTCACAAGATTATACGCGTGATCAACGCCTTATCGTCCCACGACGTGTGACAAACGCTGTCAAATTGCCTAGAGAAAAAAATGATCGTGTCAGGAATGTAAGACAAAGCGGAAAGAAAAAGTTGGCAATGATTTCTTGGACTATAGTTTGAGGTTAGCCCTATGTTCGTGAAACGCAACACAACATCAAGTAACCGTTCGTCATGTAGCTAATCCATCGTTCGCAAGCATATTGGTGCCAAGCAAATGTAAGGGCAAGCAAAACCTGCTGCGGCCTCGTTGCCAACTTTTACGCAGTGCGTGGTCGTGGACGCTTGCACTTGCACAAGTACGGCCTCACTTTGCTACGAATAGCCCACTGCACTCGCTTTGACCGTATCCAGCACAATACAGTTGTCTTTCTTTGTAGACTACGGTCGATGTAGCCAGCTTTCCGCCTGAGTGGTCCTTAGTGCAAGAGTGGCCATGTTGCGCGATCGTGGTTGCACTATTTGCCCCAGAAAAAGATAGCGCAATGCGTTTAGCTGTATGAGAGGATACGCACGTCAGGGTCATTGCGGAAGAGCAGGCGGTCCAAATTGATCGCACGACTCGATTTGCGTCGACTACTTCTACAAGTCGTCCATTGCTACAGCCAATTCCTTCTTTGGGTAATGAAGTCACGTCCCATCTCGGTCAGTTGTGGTAGCTTCGGTGGCGGGTAGACGGGCTATTCAGATGAATATTGCAGAAAGCATCCGCTACTACGTCAAAACTATGGCGTTTGCATAGGTCTTGCCACTTGTTTGCCAAGCTTCCAGGCGAATTCTACATGGCGAGCGTACTCAGCAGCCAATGAGTGTAGAAAAACACGACCTGTCGCCCTGATACACTCTATTCAGAGCGCATGATCTTTCGACAATCTATGTTGTTCGCTTGTGGTCTGGCAGGCTGAAGCATATCCCACTTCATAATATCCCGAATGACCACAAACAACTACTCGGTATACGTACGCCGCCACAATCGACTCGTACTGCTACTCAGTTTGCGGATGTCACGCAGCCAAAGCTTCGCAAGCGCTTCTTTTTCCGCGCGTGACGCGCATTGCGTAGACGATTATATACATCACTCTTCGACACGTCAACCGTAGTTTGTACGATAAAGAACGAGACGGTATAATGTCAGCGCGAGGCCGAGATAGTACAGCAAAGTCAGAAGTTTGTGAGATGGTGGCGATTACATTGCTGACTTCTCATGGATGCTGTATAACTGCGTAACTTTGTGTTACAAACCATAGCAGTCAGCACTGAAACGGCACTTTATCTACAGGCAACCTGGACATACAGCTTGTTCTTCAATCGCTCAAATGGGACAAAAGCACGGCGATCGGTGATTCAAAACGGGTCGTACAAAACAAGCTGACTGCGACGGCAATACCGCAGGGTCGCAGCCAGACAAATAACGTACAATGAAATACTACATTGTTAGCACGATAAGGCAGCACTCGTAAGGACGACAGGACACTGGGTTGCCCCCGGCGACGTACTTCCAAGCAATCGATCTGGTCAAGTACTTCACGTCTGCAGCAACATCGAAGACCCATTGCGCACCTGCATACTTCAATCATCTCTCTCCGGCGATTACACCTCCTCGCTTCCGATCGGACCTCACGTATGCAGGCGATTGAGAAAGTAAGACAAGTCTCGAGCCTTCGACGAGGACTTCACTTTTGTCGAGCGGTAGATCGAATTTAGCGAATCATCAATCAACTGCCGCTCGAGGAGCTTTTGGCAAGCCCGGAATGCTGCAGACGCTCGAGCACTGGCTTTTGAATGCATCGGGTCACTTCGAAACGTTTCCAGCTCGAGTTCGATGGGAAGATTGAGCTCAGCTGTGAACATGCTCTTTCCTCCAAAGTGCGTTTCCGAGATGGAGTACAACAGCTTCGCGTTCACAGTGTACAACTTGCTCGGCAACGACTGGCAGAACTGGTTGATATACGCGATGCTGCTATCCAGATCCAAGACGGCACCAGTAGATTCGATGACGATCTTCTGCTCACCAGAACCCATTAATTGAGCACTGATAGATCGCGGCTGTTGCTGGATAGTTTCGACCTTCTGCTTCGAAAACTCAAGTTTGTTGATCACGTCTGCTTCATGCACCAACTGTTTGTAGTGCACCTCGTGAGCAAGGTCGTCTTGTTCGCCTAAATAGTACACAACGCCATCTTCGTGACGCGCACGACCTTTGAGCTGCACCAACATACGCGCTGTTCCAATTCGATCCGTGACGACGATCAGCCCGCATTGGGGAAAGTCTACGCCCTCCACAGAGACAGCCGTGGAAACCAGCACGCGGATCGATCCCGACTCAAACTTTTTCAGCGTAGTTTCCATCTTGGGTAGTAAAAAAGAAGCCGTGTCACTACGTGATGCTCTCCCCAAGATGCTGGCGAACGGTTGGTCCGCCGTTGTCTCGTCCAAAATCTGGTTATGCGACACCACGCATGACGCTTCGTCAGGTTCGTCACTGTCTTCCTCGAGTGACGCAAACTTCTCGTTAAAGAAGTCGGACAGCACACGACATTCGGTTCGAGTATTTACAAAGACAATGCCTTGCAGATCAAGTCGACCACGCTTCTCGTCTTCGTGTTCCTCGCCGTTCTCGCCCACAAGGGCGGCTGGCTTACTCTGAACCGGATCGTCGCCAGGCTTCTTTTCGCAGTCAAACTCGTTACTTGTGGCGTGCTCCGTTCCACCTACACCCTCGGCCTCGCCATCTCCATCGAACAAGTGCCCGCGCAGAATGCCTTCGACCTTCTTCACTTTTTCTGAGCACGCATATTCACAGTGCTCGCGCTTCGCAGTGAGCAACAGCATCGTCTTGACTGCATCTTTGTCCAGCCCAAACATGCTGCCCGGCACAGTAATCAGTAACGACGCAGCAATTGCCAGTCGATGGATCTCTAGCTCGGCAAAGCGGTAGTAGCACCACGGACCCAAGTTCTTGTACACGGTGATGCAGTTTTGCGCAAACTTTTTCTTCGCCTTGTCCAATTTCACCGCGTCCGTCGCTGCATCGCTCTTGCCCTTCTTCAAAAGCTTCTCGATGACTGCTGTCGCCTTCACTTCGGCCAGCTCTCGCTCCATGTTGGTGAAGATCCACGTATCGTCCACCACGTCTTCGTCCTCGTGTCCCTTGACGGTCCACGGCGTCTGCACAGCATACGTCTCGTACACGATCGGAGCTGCTGCCGAGAACGCTGCGATCTGCGTCTCGTCAAGCTCCACTTTCTTCATTTCGGCGTGCAGCTTCTCGGCGCAGTGGCGGGTGGGACACGCCGTCGTGCCAAAGATGCGCGGCATCGTCGTCGCGTCCTCCTCGTTGTACATCTTGATCACTTGTGCGTACGGGTGGCGCTTGGTCACGTGGTGGCACTCGTCAAACACGAGCAGGTTCATGCCGCTGAGCGAGACGTAGCCCTTAAGTAACGCGTTGCGCACGATCTCGGGCGTGCACACAAACACGCGCATGAGCTGCAGCTCGCGCTCCCATTGGGCCGCGTCCCACATGTCCGCACTGCTGCCGTAGTACGCACTGACGCGCAGCGTACTCGTCTGCTGGATCTTGGCCGTGATCTGCACCACCAGCTGCCGCGTGGGGGCCATAAAGAACGCGCGCTTGTCCCCCGAGTAGTCGAGCTCGCTGAGCAGCGCAATGGCGAGGAACGTCTTGCCGATGCCCGTGTCGCCCACCATCACGACGTTCTTCTCCCGCACGAGCTCCAGGATGTCGCGCTGGAACGCGCGGAGCTCCACGTGCTGCATCGCGTTTTCGGGCTGCAAGCGCTTTGGGGCTGAGCCAATCGATGCGGCCTGAAGTAGCGCGACACAAAGTGGCCGCAACGACAAAACACGACAGAGGGGTGGGGGACAGGCAAATCGTAGGTAAAGTAGCCCACTCTTGCAACAATGCATAATAAATCGCCTGGTTTTTTTTCCATCTCCACCTCACTCTCTGCGCGATCGATCCACCCACAGTGTCAAAATGGGGTGATTACCGTATCATGCGTGACACTTACATTAGTTCAAACGTATTTAGGAATTGTATCGGCGAGAACGCTGTTTTTTTTACTTCGAGATAGCAGGGCAGATCTAACTGAAACGGGGTGAACATGTTACATGTCGTTGGTACAAATTTGTGGTAATGTTAGATGAGTGGATACTATCTATGTTATCTTAATTGGTCATATATGCCAAGATTTTACTCTTGCGAGTATGTAATGATGGAATATTACATTTAGAGGTAAGATCCGGCGCCGCTCCACCATCGGTTGATCGAAGCCATGGTATCGACCGAATATACCACCAATCGCTGCTAGACGCGCGCAACGGGCAGTAAACGAGAAACTACACTACGTTGCTGTACTTAGTAATTATTACAGTCAGAACAAGAGGTTTTACCTGAAAACCTTCATTTCTAAACAAATTATGATTTACATTTACCGCTACCAAGCCCCTTTGTTTTGTAGATTGACTTCTCTGTATGTACGTGTACGTGAGAGTACTAGACACATCATTTCACTGTGTCAGTGTAGACAGCTTGCACTTTGTCAGTGTAGGCAGCTTGTGTTTAAAAGGAGTGTCGCTGTAAGTACGATCGCGCAAGAAGCGCGACACGGCAATGATGAATGCGGCCGATGACTTTGTGGTCGTATGGTGAATACATTGTCTGACACGATATGCAACATTTGCGAATCGAGTGGACAGGAAGGAGCACACGAGAAAAGTAGGTAGATGTATAACACAAGATAAATGACTGAATCCTTTTGCCACAGTGCTCCGTACTACCTTCCTACGTCTAGCGACATCGCGAACGAACAGCTTGTACTGTGTCAGTACAAGCGTTCGGTGCCCCGTCGAACATTTATGAGACAACGTTTTGATCAGATTACGAGATGCATATTACGCAATTGTTTTGTACAGGTGGTATGGATAGCCATACCACACTCGTTAGATTCTGAATCAAATATTTCCATCACATTTTCACCTTTCTGTATCTTGGACTCATTAGCTGTTGACGCATATGGACCAAACCCGATGAATAATGCTTCCAGAAAAAAAGTAATCAAGATCTCTTACGCTTTAGCAGTCTTGTCCGCACCGCAAAGTTTAAACAGAAGCCGTGGGATGATCACCATTTGTACATTCTCGAAACTTTTATCGCGTACTTCATAACTAGGCTCCCTTGCTTGCAATGACAGAGTAAAAGCTACCTACACTGACATAGCGTAGGCAGGTGCCTCGCAACCTCAAGTACACTGTACATGCAGAGAAACGCTTAGCCTGTGAAGCGAGTACGTGAAAGAGAAGCAAAAAAGTGAATTAGAAATAAATATGGCCAAATCCATTAGTAACATCTCTTCATCTCACTTATACTATATCAACTGCAACGATCTTATATTGCTACCCACTCACCACCCATTGCGCGCGTCTCGCACCACCGGTGGCTTAGTTTGCTGACATAATGGCCTATATCAAACAAGAAGTGGAGCGTTGCTAAAAATCACCTCTATAGGCCATATCCCCATCATATTTACTTAGCAGGCCAAACATTGGTGAATACAATCAAATAAGATAAGTGGATCATCCTGTGTCAATGAAATATTACATGCTCACTCCGCTGCATACTTTTCATACCTACGCGTTACTGTCCTCTAATCTTGCTGCATTTTCGTGATGTGAGCTGTTGTTCCCTTCTTGACGTGATTCATTCAAGCGTTGTACTCCCACTGACGAAGATGGCTTCGTTGAGGACATCGTTTGCCTCACCCGTAGTTGGACTCATGGTTTACTAGAGTTACAACACACAGAGTAGACACTATACATCGACAGAGAAGTACACCACACTTTTTCGTTCATGCCATACCCTACAAATGTGCCCAATCGCGTGATGATAGCCAAAAGAAGCAACCTCGAAAAATTTACAGGTAACATTTCTGTTTCTGCACCTGTATTCACATGCGGTACGTGCCTATCGTACACTCGAAACACTGACGGTCACATCAGCACGATGCATTAGCATTGATGAAATTTCCTTCTCCAACGACTGTAAGCTACTGAGCTGAAAGTGTCCATTGGATGGCCCAAAATTTTACGTACTTGGTCTGGCGCAGAGCAAGCGTGACAAAATCGGTGTAGACATGCTCACGAAAGGAGAAAGGGGTGATCAATAAATACAGTATAGTCGATCTATGAATCGTTTTCGATCCGTACTTCATTCCCACGTTGTTATGAATCAGTGCGTTACTTCCTTTCTTGACCGCTCGTGGCACGCGTCCGGCGACACTTGTGCTTGTGTGGGCTATATGTCGGCATCCGCCACAGAGCTGTGGGTCGTAATAACATTCTGCTGAACATTGTACGCTTCCAGAAATATTTGTTTGATTTAATCTGCTAGGACAATATTCGCATTGACATCAATGTCAATGTTATGAAACGGGACCTCTTCGTTACAGCGGGAGACGGGGAATCATGTTGCGGATGACCGCGTGAGCATGGGTAGATCAGAAAGCATATTTATAATCGATGCCAAATTGGGCATTCTAACGCAATTTTGATGATACCTAGACTCAGACCGACCGGTCTTGCCAAATGCATTGAAATTCCTACCCGTTCAATGTCTGTCCAATCCGAACAGAATGTCAACAAATCTAATCAATCACTATAATGTGCGGCAGCGTTCATCAGTATTGACACCCATTATAGGATTAGCCATGTTCCGTTTGTAGTGGATCACCAACAAATGCACTCTTTCTAACGAGGATAAGCGAAAATGTAGCCATCACTACTTGTTGTGGCTCTTCTTGAACTTGCTCGATGTCCGCTTACTCGCGTGAGCGCCATGAAGTCCTGGCGCCGAAATCTTCACGGGCCCGACCATACACGTCACTAGCTCATTGTCTGGAATGCACCGCATCAGCTCGCGCTGCACTGCAAGCGGATTCACATCCGGCTGAACATCGTCGGCTTCCATGTGCATCTGCGACTTTTGCATGTCCTTCTCTTCCTTCAGATTCAACGCAAAGAAATGATCCATCGCTTGCTTGGCTGCCTTGCCCTTCTTCTGGCTTCCAGGCGTGAGCTTTACCTTGTACTTGAACTTACTCAGCGAGGCGTACGGAGCGCACATGGGCATGGCAAACAGCACAATGTCGTTCGGTAGAGGCTCGCCCGTGAACGCATCAAAGAATCCAATGCTTTCCACCTCACCCTCTTGCTCGTCAAGAAACTTTTCTTTTTTCTCGCGCTGCTGACGAATGTACTCGTCCTTGGTCTCGGTGGTAGCACTGGTCACAGGACTACCATCGTCCTCGTCATCGCCACCTCCATCTCTCGCTTGTCCGACGCACTCACTGTTCTGGTCACGCTGGCTGTCCCCATTGTCTGTCTCCTCCATCACGTGACCCAGCGCCTCCATGCGCAGCCGGCGATCGTCATCGTCCTGGTCAGCGTACTTCTTCTTCATTTTCTTCATCTTGCCCTTCTTGCCACGAACGCTCTTATCCAGCCGAGATACCTGGATGTTGCCCTTGTCGAGCGACTTGCGCGTATCCTTCCTTTGGGCCTGTTTTGCCTGATAAGACGGCTGACTATTGTCACCAGCCCCATCCTCGTAAGCTGTTGGGACACCTTTCTTCAGGTCACGGCGCTCTCTTGTCGACAATCGTTTTCGCCCGTCACGCTGAGACTCCTGTTTAGACGGGTCTGACTTGTCTTCCCTGTTGTCAATCTCATTACCTTGAGCGACATCCGCAGGAACATGAGACTTACGCGGCTCCGAACAACTGTCGTCTGTCGCTTCCTCACTTTTCTCCTCGACAGCCACGTCTTGCTGGTGCAATCCTTCCTGTTCTTCCGGCAGAACGTTTGGTGTGTCACTCCCATCTTTTTCGTCTAAGTCGTCCATCACCTGAAGATCTCGTTCTTCATACTGGCGCGCATGCTGGCTGACGCTGCTCACGTCAATATGAAAGAGAATTGCTAGTCCCATTTCGAGCCGAGATGGCTGGATGTAATTCTTCTTGCCCCGGATCATGAAACTGCCAGTCGTGAGGAACTCGCCTGCTGGTGCGGTCTTCGACACCTGGTCGGCATGGACCCAATAGGCTCCAGCAATCACCTGACTACTCCAGGCGTTGCTGCGGCATACACTCATGCATCCTGCCTGTTCTAGCGCAGTTATAGATACAGGAGGAAGTTCCTGGGTCTCGATGTTCCTAGCGCTTGCATGGTTGCGCACAATACAAGAAGCAGCGCCGTGAAGATCGGCGTGGACGTACACATCTCCCTTTCGCAGATACCGCTTGACCAGTTGTTCGTTCTGGTGCGCATCTTTTCCAGCAACCACCAAGTTCTTTTCGCTGGTAAGAAACCAATGAAACTTCTCAAACCAAAGCGTTTTGCGCCGCTGGTAGATCACATTTCGCTTCGTTTGCTGCTTTTCCAGGGTTTTCAAAGTGGTCTTCTCAGCCAGTGCAATTGCTTTGTCAGTTGCCTCCGAAGCCTTGATCGCCTTCGCTCCAGCTTTCTTCTTCTTCGTATAGACTTCTCGTGCATTGGCGAGCGCCGATAGTGACAAATCGATCCAGATGATGTGAGCCTGTCTGTCTTCCTCACCCGTACCATCACCTCCGTATTCGCCTTCGTCACTCTCGTCATCATCGCAAAGCAAAAGTGCTACGCGGTTATGCTCGAGATCTAGTTTGTGAATGAGACTTGCCACAGGGTTGCCATTCTTTTGCTCGTACTTGACAAGCTCTTCTAGACCACGCCAATCCATACCACTGGCTAACGCGCTGCGAATGACCGAAAGCACATTCTCTACGTCTTGCTGATTGGATTCGATCAGCTGGGCTTGTCGAAAACTTTGCTCTTGAGCCTCGCGCAATTGAGCAAGCTGTTGTTCCTGGTTCTTTCTCAGCCTAGCAAGCTTGTTCTCCGCTGCGAGCTGAACGCTTTGCTTTGCCACCTCAGCCGTCTCCGTCTCGAAGCGCGAAAAGTACTCATCGACAGCCTCGTCAAACGTGTCGAAGCTTTTGACCTCTTTTTGCAGATGTTGAGCATACAGGAATGGCGTGAACTCGTCAAATTGCGTTTGCACAGCGCCTTTCGTAGAGCCTTTTAGGATGATGAAGCCGCGCTTTTTTGCAATAGCAGAAGGGTCTTTCGCAGCTGTGGAAGTGCTGCTTCCGTCGTTGTTATCACCGCTAGCAGCTGTCGCGTCCGTCTCAGTCGAAACCGGGCCAACACACGAAGCCTGTTCATTCTGAAGCCTTGCTAGCAGCTTCCAACCCTCATGGATCTCTGCTAACAAGGTAGTCAGCTTCTCGTCGCCTAGTGCCATAACATCATTGGCATTCATGATCTTGAGCGTGGGTGGGATGTCCGCACGCACTAGACAGTGCTCAATGATGGCAGGACCCAGTCCGCCAAACGTGGAAGCTTTGTGCAACAGCAACTGCTTGATCGTCTGCGTTTTTTTCTTTTTTTTCCTCGGCGTCTTGCCAGGAGCGAGCAGCGTCGCGGTCTCTCTGTCCTCCTGCTCTCTACTCCAAGTGTTTACAAACTCGATGAGCTCAGCAGTCGTCGTCTTCTCGCGACGCTTCTCCTGGTCGCCCAAGAGCTGCACCGGGTACACCTGCTTCACGGCCATCTTGACGTTCTCGTCAAAGCGATGCGTGCGCAGCAGCGACAGGATCCGATACTTGTCATCCGTCAGAATGATGTTGCCCGAAGCGTAGAGCTCGAGAATCAAGTGACACGTGAGCGCGTCCTGGCCAAACGTCAAGTCCACGACGCGATCTCCTTCGAGCTGCGTCAGCGCCGATAGCCTCTTGCCTCGTAAATGTTTCCGCAGCTTCATCGTGAACTGACTGGGCAAAGCACTCGCGGACTTGGCGTCACGTGCGTACTGACTCGTGTGGAACCGCACGCCCGATTCGAGCAGCAGGAACACCTTGGGAAATGGGGGCTGCTGCAGCTTGAGAATGTACGTCTTGGCGGCGCTCTTGTCGCTCTGGTCGGGCACGTCGTAGATGTTGGTCACGCGCATGTTGGCCACATGCGCACGGATGCTGCCCACCATTGCGTGAATGTCGTCGATCGACATGCGCGTCTTCTTCATGGCACAGCAGCGACCGCGGCAGGTCTTCGATCTTTTTCCTCGTTGTAAGTAAAAAAAATATATGCCCAATTGAGACTTTGACGTTTGGAAGAGCAATAATTCCCGTAGCTGCTGAAAAAGAAGCGCGAGAGAAACAAAAAGAGTCGGGTCGGAGGAGAGCGATTGTGGCGATGAACGCGGCAAGAAAAAGAAAAGCGATACGTCACATTATCCACGTTCAGCGTTGTGAACTCAGCTCATGGACTACTACAGGGGAGAGTCAGGGGCACCATACATACTACACGCAACGTTGTGGCACAAAAGAGCCCAACTTGCTAACAAATCACGTTGCTACTAGTCTATCGACACTAGCGAAGCACTGTCAGTGGACCACAAGCTCGACAGTGAGGTCGGTACAAAGAGGTTGGTAAACGATAGTAGGTATTGAGGACGTCAGCGCGTCTTGTCATTAGTTGCTCTCAAGTGCACTGCGATACAAACAAAGAGACACGTAAGTTGAAGCTACTCTTGTCATAGGAAGCGATGCTGCAGCTACGTAGGATGCACTGAGCTTTTGCTGTTCGAGCCCTGCCAGCAGATTTTGTGTTTTTACGACTCGAAGGTTTCCCCGCTCTTATGGGCCAAAACTTTGTCAGTTTGGAAGCAAACTCTGCGAAACATGTTGCCTCTGGAGAAACGATACGTAATAAGACAATGTATCATCATTGCCACCATCGCGCTAACACCTTGAAGGCCCTGTCCCACGTCAAAAAGTCGCTGAAGCCACTGAACCTGCTTACGAGGAAGCCTCGTTTCATGTCCTCAGCGACGCGGGCAACTCGGCTTCGAAGTCTGCACTTCCGAAACAGAAGAGGGAACGACAGAATTTTCTTTGTCTGGCAGTAACCATTGAGGCAGCACGAGCTGGGAGTGGCAATGCTATATCCTGCGTTTTGCCCCTGTTTTGCCATTCAGATCAGCTCATACGTCCTGGCTGATGCCGGCCATCAATCTGTGCGGTAGCGAGGCATCGTCGTCTTTGGATACACCACCTTGCGAAGTGCAATCGCACTCGGAGGGAGCAGCATCGACATTTAGCTACGCTGTGTCTATCTCATCTGTTCGTCGCGTTCATTCTTTACCGTGGTCCGTATCAGCAGCAGGGCAGTGTTCCCGCGCTTTGCAAGCAAGCCGCTCTTAATTTAGCGATCGAGCTGGATCATGTAAAATCGGGAGATGGCTCGTCCCTGCTTGGTAGTATTGGAAACTGTGCAGTGCACCTGTCGGATCTGTTGCAGCACATATTTGGCCCCTACCACGGTCCAATTCCCTGTGTAACTTGAACTCGGCTGAATTTTCATTGCATGAGCATCGGGATCTGGCTGTGAGCACACACGCACCATCGTACCGGCATCTCTCATCAGGTATTGAAGAAACTTCCCGGGACGTCTTTGCCACAAAATCGGCAGTAGAATTCGGCCAAAATCAGAGAAAACAAGCCGTCTCTCATTATATTGTCGAAAATGTTAATGATTCTCACGATTCATCCTCGAGTGTTGTTTTGCAAGGTAAATGTCGGCGTCATTTATTGCTCTTTCGTGACTGTGAGGACACCGATAGATCACAGCGAAGAGATTATGCACCTGACGAGGAGCATACCTTGCACAACAAATAAATCATTGATGTCGACCAGAAAAGCATCACGCGGCTGGACCCAAAGAACAGGTCTGACACAGATAAAGCAGAGTTTGAGAACGTTACCAGCTCTATGCGAAAGCAGCACTCCCCCGCATCACCACAGTCAATCGCTCCACATTCTTATCAGCTGCGCGCAGGAACGACTGCGGCGCTGAACGTCGATGCGATCCGTCTCCGTCGTGTTCTTCACTTTTGGTGTAACACTGACATGCATCACGAGTTCCTTCGGCGATGCCGGCTCCAACGGGACTGAAGCCGACCCCCCGGGTCGCCTTCGCTTATCTATCAACGACGTGAATGACAAGTCCAGTGCCCGCGTGCCAAGGGCAAGTGCGACGGCGGGTCAAGAAGAGAGAATGCCATCTGTGCTCACATCTTGGATCGACAGGCTTAAGCCTTTCGTAACAAAGCTATCCGCCCATCTTCGAGCAAGGAAGTGGCTAATGAGCTTCACAGGTACCAATGGGGTCTTGGACCGCTTCCACTTGAAGACTGCTGGCAGTGAAGACTCGTTCAAGGTCGCTCAAGACTTCTGGGATAGGCTATCAGATTCGGATATGACGGCTTTGATGATCTATTTCAAGTTGGCAAACCCACGGGAAAAAAAGTTCAGCGTCCCATTTGCCTCTGCTTTCTCGAAAAGATTCGGAGAGCCCGAGATGGCAGAAGTGCTAGTCAAGGCCTATCGGTCGGGAACCCCATTCCGGAAGAGTCTGGCCATCGCGTTGACGAACGGGCAATTTACGAGCTGGCATCGTACCGGCACAAGCCCCGTCGACGTGGCTCGTCAACTAGATCCGTGGGACGGAAAGGTTTTAACAGATCGGAGATTACTGATGCTGCTAGGCTATATCCTCCGTGTCGATCCAGAAAAGACGCATCATACACTGGCCAAAACGTTTACAGAGCTTTATGGTGGCGATGCTAAATTACCGCCAATTGTTTCGGGAATGAAGATGTTTGGCTTCGCACGATGGGCAGGTAAGACCATCGAGAGAGAAATGGTCGAAGGCTGGATCAAGAATGGGATGACTGTCGATCAAGTTACTGCATCGCTGAAGCTCGGTCCCGACCAACCTCTTACGTCCGAGGCCAACGACTTATTGAACTTGTTCATCGCGCGCGACAAACGTGTGAAACATGGAACGACGGATCCGAACAGCGTTCCAAAGGAACACTTCAGTGATGGCGAACCCCCCAGTTTAATTTTGCGGCCGCCGCTGAGTGAGGAACCTGATAAGGGCACAGCGACTGCTCACCATACGGGGAGGTAGCTACCGGAAGGACTGCGATTCCGGATGATATGAAGTGCCTTTTGATAAAGATCAAGACAGGTTGAAGCTGCGCTGTTAACGAAGAAGATCGGCTGAATGGCGGACGAATGTGCTAACTGGACTGTCCTCTCTTCGTCATTGTAGTGGTAATCGACAATGTCTCTCGTTTTTTCGATCGCAATCCATACCTACGTATGTTTACTGTCATGTGTAGTAAAATGCCTTATCGCAAGGTGACGATAAGTTGCAATGGCGACGAACAAATGTCAGGTGAAGCAGTACACTGTGTGGTACACGACTGAGCCGTACAAGGTGTGCAACACTCAAATGGAGTCTCATTGCGATAGTCCTCTCGTACGTGTATACAGCAGCATTGTGATCTCGTCTCATAGGCTGATGGTATGCTCAAAGGTACTTTCATACCCTGCAGATCCCTGGTACCGGTTCTTTCTCGCGTCGATGTGTCATGTCGGATGGTCGAATGGAAACCCTGTCATACTTTTGGGCCAGCAATGAAAAATGTTGGTGCATTTACCACGAACCGCTAACGACTTTTATGCGAGATGGAAAAACAGTTGACTTATAAGGGAGATGGCAAAACCCGCGACAGAAACGTCAGTTGACTTTTGAGGGAGATCGCAAACTCTGCTACAAAAAAGTCTGTTGTTGCCCGCGCAGGTCGGGTCGGCCCATTCTCAGTCCTTTTTTCGATCAAGAAGTCCTGTGCACCACATCTGCGAAGATATTTACTAAGAGATATAAAATTTGCACAAGAAAAAAAAATAAAGTCGAAAAACACACAAGAAATGCAACAAGATAATAAACACAATAAATCCTAAGAAATAATGCGTCACTTGATCAAAGAATTAAAACATACCGCAATTATAAATTCAACAAACGCACAAGCGATGTATAGTATATGTGCGCGCTCATCTGTGTTTACCCGATAACGACATGGGAATACTACTATGTTGCTGTTCGTATTTGTACAGATGCCGTAGTATAACGATATAGAAGTGCTCATTCGACTATTGCCGGATGCCGGATCGGCTGTCGAACATCCACGAATCTTTTTCTATAATAGAAGCGGTCAGTACGCTGTATCGTTCTAGCAGGATACGTATCATAACATAGAGCACCCTCCGATTGCATTGACAAAGTACAAGCTACCTACACTGACACAGCGTAGGCCATTGCCTCGCAACCCCATGTACATTGTACATATAGAGTAACGCTTATCTATCGAACACGTGTCAGTGAAGAAAAGAGCGAAATGCTCTTCTAATTTATACACTATAAAACCTTTCTGATCTCACTAATTCAATAAAGATCTACAAGTGATGAATAAAGCTACTCATATACACTCGTTGCGCACGTCGATCAGCAATTGATGATTTAGTCAGCTACTATAATAGCTTTTGTCATTAAATTTGTGAAGCGGTGCTGAATTCGATCCACGACGGTAATAATCAATCAATGTTTACCGAGTCAGCTAAACTATTTATATTATAAATGGTTGAGATAATATGCACATTATCGTAATGTCAGGTCAATGGCATGTAGCGGTCTGACAACGATATACTACTCAGCCATACGTTACTATAGTAAATAAAGTCATCTAGTTGGTGAAAGAGGGATCATTGGTCGATCACAAAGGAAACGGTGCACTTATGGGTCAGTCCAACCCACTTTCGGTTATCTCCGTATCGATAGATGGTGCATGCGGCGTGCAGCCAACGTTACAAGGAGAAAGGCTGCACGAATGTTTACAGCTAAGGAGAGGTAAACGTATGATCAAGAAGCAGGTGATCTTTCGACTAATACTGCTACTGAGTAGCCTGCAACGTTGACATTGCAGGTTTACAGGCTTTTTCGATAGCAGGTAGAAGTCCTAAGATCTACGATGACCTTAACTTGACAGAAGTCAATAATTGCGGGTTGAATTGTAACATCCGACTCGAAAGAGTCTGTTAGCCCTTGAGCAAAGCCGAGGCTTCGAAGGGTACGACCTTAGAGTATTGCCATGTATAGGTTTGAAAATATCTACGAAGCCATAATCGGGCCTTCTAATGAGTCAGACGGCTCGTATTAGACATCCAATTTTTGCACATAATAGAGTGCGACGTAACTGGTTTCCATGATGAAGGCTATCTTCGTGGTGATGACTGTGACAAGAGTCGGAGTACAAACAGTCGACGCACCGAAATGATCCCAACAAAGGTGGTGTCGGTGATTCTCTAGTAACATTCAAGGGAAAGTGAATGTAACATGTTGAGTTACGTCTAAAAACCCGGCGGTGGCTTCCATCACAGTTATATTTATAATGGGTAGGATTGATCTATAGACTTAATTCAGCTCGCGTCAGTTTAAAAATCGTGACCCAACCGCTGCTGTGTATCAATGCACCGATGATTGTCTCAGGGATACAAGCTAGCCCTGTCTCGGACGGAGCAACAATTCTTTGGTTTGGCTTAACAATATCAATTATGTTCTCAGAAGGCGTTTCCCTCTATTTAACCCTGTTATGTGGGTTCGGATCTCTTATATGTACAAAAAAATTTTAATTTTGTTAGCCCATTACGAGCGCTTTAATGTTTTTTCGGTGGATCTTACGAAATATACAATGGGTCTTAACGCACTGCTGGACATGGCTAAGATCACCGGGCATAAGTTTATAAAAATGTTTTCGGCCATTTACTTAAGGAGGACACCCGCACCTCTGGACGAGGTAACTAGTATTCCGTCACCTCTCAATTAAATTGAACGAAGCGCTTCAATAATTTTTTTGAACGCCGCACAAGTCTATTTATTGAGATATTGGTGGCAGGAATCCTGTTCTAGCTATGAAGCATATTAATGTTAAGGAAACGAATCGAGCAACACAAGAATGTCGCGACAAAATCGAACATAGTGAGACGGGCGTCGTACCCTTGATTAATATATGCAGAGGCACACGATCTACCGCAAATAGATTAACGTGACAGTGTTTTTAGAGGTCGACGGTAAGTAAAAGCTTAACCTTCAAAAAACAACACGACGGCGATTTAACAATAATACCCAAAATAACTTTAGGAGAACTCTTCTTTACACAACAAGTTTGGCGCCTAAAAGTGACCGCAAGAATCTGATGTTCACTTGTATGCGTAGGACGTATATTAAACACGATGAAACGGTTCGTACTGACATTGTGGGAGGAAAAGTTCTAAGCACAACGTCGGATGCGTGCGCATCCTTTAGCTTTGTTTGATCATGTAGACGTTGCCTCCTCGACTCAACAAGATCAATGAGGCGATGCATTTGATCATGTGTTTACTGCTGCACAAACTTATATATAAATTTGATTGTGGCAAATTTATGATCGATAAGGGGCTTAGTCTCGTTTGTAAAATGACAGGGAAATGCATGCTTTTTTATGTGTCAACGATTTGAACTGAATTCATCGCTTTTGCGATGAATTTTGCACAAAATGAATCACTTTTCATGCACCCGAAATACCTCCTACAGAATCGTCTATAATATGTCATCGCGACTAATGCTCACTGCGACTTTACCTTCGTCATTATCAACAAGGGCCTCATCATTCTCGCACTTGTAGATGTTGGGGATACTTAAATTACCAGCGTCGTGATTATTATGTAATATAACAATAGCTGTATGTTATTTTAAGATTTGTCTGCACTGATGATGATACGCGTAAATCAGTACTTATCGCTTCAATCTATTCCATGGACGGGTGATGAGATCGATCAAGATTATATCTCTTGAGTGATCGTTAACCAATATGATCGAATTTTTATTTTTTAGGGGAAGAAGCAAAGATTCTGATGGACATTTGCTAAATTCGGTGAAGGAGACACAAGTACTGATTTTATACTTGTTAGCTAGCCATAAGAAAAATTCACAACAAACTTATTTACAAGCAAAAGTAACATTTTACTTGATCTTTTCAAGTACACTTTTCACATTTTTGATCGATGATAGGTTAATTGACGTTCTGATGTAAGCATTTATTACAGTAAGTCTAGTAACGGAATACCGAATGCCACAACTTTACCGAGATCCTAGATGATTGAGTAGGGAAAACTTCAGAGGTAATTCCATGGAGTCGTAATATCGTGTCTGTATGCAACACTAGCACATCAATTTTCTGTGGTTTGAATACTCACCTTAAACTAATTGAATCATCTCGCTGAACAATTTTAGAAACAAAATATACCATTATTTCGGAATGATGTTCGAAAACGTCGTATGCAATATATCTTTAGAAGGGACTTTCAACATGTAAGTGTCACTTTTTCTTGCAATATGTTGTATTAAAGCCGTAAACGAACTGCAAAAAGAGACGCACTCTAAGAGATCCGGTAGATTTTGAAATGGTGCACGGGATATGGGCCGGCGCTCTATTGTTAAAATCATTGTAGCACGAATTTACCTACGTAAACTATAATACTGGCAGGACTAGCCACAGTCTCAACTTACCGTGATATAAGCCATTCCAAGCTTTCCCAACCCACTTTCTAGCGCACCGTGATACTTGCAACAATAAAATAAAGGATGCTCAGTCGCAGACAATTATAGGCGGCAAGAAAACACGTAATGTGTTTCCATCGGTTGCTACATGATACAGCAGTCCATCACATTCAAGACCCGATATATTATTACTAGCAATCCGATGAGCAGCGTTCGAAGCTTGCCACGATAAGTTCAAACGGTTATTCCCTAGAAGCTTAAGCACTCATTCTGTGTTAAACACGGCTCATAATTTTTTTGAGCAGGATCGATGAAGAGATGCTGTGATCAGCATTGTAAATGTAGTCTCACATCACTGTTATACTTCGCAGCCTGTCCTATTTCGGTCCGAGTGGATATAGTATTGTCAACAAAATTCAATAGTTGTAATGTGTATCTTTAAGGAGGCGTTAACCTCCGCAAATGTCAACAAGCAAATCTCCAATCTACGCAAGAGATAAATACATCGACGGCCGTGCGAAATGTTGCGT